CACCTCATAGTAACAATCCTGTCAGATCGTCCATCCTTTGAGTATAACGTGTAATGTTACAGGTCGGCTGATCTGGTTTCGTGGTTAAAGTTAACCTTTTTTGACATGTTTCCGTGTTGTCCTTGCTCAGCAAAAGCATGGACGCGATGTTGTCTGGGGGTTTGGCAAAAGGAGAGTGGGACTGTGGGCGGTGCTCGGGGTGGTGACTGAAGGCAGTGACTGTGTAGTTCTGACGTCAACTTTTTACGTAAGTCATAACGGTTCGTGAAAAATAGCTAGAACTTTAAGCAGGCTGTGTGAATTTTACTGTGGACTGACTGTTTGGAAACTTATATGGTAGTTACATAGCGCCTAGACCTCAGTAATCGTGAAAAAAGCCAGGAAATTTCAGTTTTGACAATATGGGACCTTTAATTTACAAGTGTCATGTTTGTAATTTTTATTCATGTAAGCTATAGCTTTAAATCAAAACATAATCGTGATATGACATCAATTATTTCTTAATTTAATCAGAAAAACAATGTTAATTGTGTATTTTACTTTCATTTTATTACAAACAGGCCACCAGAAGAGGGGCATTAGGACCCGGGGAGGCTGTCGCCGCTGCTGCTGCTCGCGCTAGTGACTGATGACTCTTTCGCACATGGACATGTCATTCTGTACTTGCATTCTCAAATTAAATACGGAGATCCAAAACAGAGAATCCAATCACCATTCAGACAAAAGTTTGCTTCAAGAATGACCACACACTGTTGATGTGATCTTATCGCTAGCCCACCTTGAGCACATGTGAGTTACTTGTCTTTTCGGCAAGGCATATCGGTATAATTTTTCATATAGGGCCGATGCCGATGTTTACATTTTAAGCCATTATCAGACGATTCCATTAACGTTCCGATAATATTATGCATCCCTAGTTTAAAGTCCACATAAAGTAATATTAAATATGTATTCTGAGTTTTTCACACCACAGTAAAATGTGTTATTAACCACCCAGCCAAATTTGAATGATAAAAAAAGCCGCTAAGTACATAAAATTAGTCATCAAAATTAGGGATGCACCGAAATGAAAATTCTAGGCCGAAGCCGAAACTGAACAAAATTAAAACACTGGGCCGAAGTCCAAATACCGAACACGGAGTTTTTTTCCCCATGTATTTTGGCAAAAAAAAAATTCACCATTGTATAAGAGTTCTTGCTTTTTCTCAACTTTTATTTTGGCGGAAACGCGTATAAAGGTGGTGTTATCGGTCATAACTTCTGGCTAGAAATAGCGCAGACACTAGACGAAGATGATTATCAAATGGAGCATAGTTTGAAAGGCTGCACGTTTTGCTGTGTTCACATGCTGAGCCACTTCAGACAGTGTGCCAGTAGCACTTCAACGGACAAAAACACACACAATTTTGTCAAAATGCGCAGTTTTTGGCGAGTGCCCTCGTAAACGTCTTAACTGAGTTATAAAGTCCTAAATGACAGTAAAGATTTGGGAGATCCGGCCCTCAAATGAGTAAAACAGTAAGTAGAGTAAAAATGACAAGGGTCATGGCAAAACAGGACTTTGTGTCCAGGCCTAATGCATCCCTTAAGCAGCATCTTGAATGAGAGTAAAACTTTCATTCAATGTTGGCCATTGCTGTCACAGTCTTCTGCCACAATTTTGAAGGGCTCAGCAATAGATTGTGGGCAGAATGGGCAACTAGCCTGAAGGACATAAATGGACAGGACTGAACAGACAATATTTCAGTGCAAGGCAACTCTGGCAGCCACAATATAGTTTGTTTGTGTGCATGTTTTGTACCTTTCACTGCCTGGTTGAAATTCAGACAGAAGGGATGGTCTGCGGCGGTGAGGGTGGGCCAGGGATCCATGGGGCAAATGGGAACCATAGTTCCGAGCGTGAGGATGGTAGTCCACCAGTCCACCAACATCCTGAAATAAAAAACATGACACATTCCACATACTCACATAATGAAATTATATAAAGAATGTGACTACTGAAATTTAAGATTAAATGCAGATGTTTCCAGATTTAATCATGCTTTTTATGACATGAAAACCAGAAAAAGATCCCAGTTCAGTGCTAAATGCTGAGAGCAATTAGCCTAAATCTTTGGTACTCAAACCAAAGTTTATAGATTTTATACAGCCCTTTAGTTGCAGCTTAAAGTCTTACTTTTTGCATGAAACGGTTCACGTCATACCAGTCATGCACCTACTCTGGAAAGTAATCCATCCACGAAAATGAACTTCAGTCAAGAGTCTTAAACTCTGAAGTGTTACAAAGTTACTAGTTATATTGCTAGTTTAGGCTAAATTCTATTAAGATCAATATTAAGGATTACCAAATATTTGGCATCAAATGGTACAGAAAAACATGAATATCTGCTTTGTGTCAGACAAAGGACATATTCCAGCATGAATAAAGGTTTGGAGGATGAAGTGTTGTTCCACTTGGCTCCTGAGCTGAATAGGGTTAAGTACCACGGATTTAGATTTTCTGTGTGGTTAATAAGACCAGACAGTAATCTCTGCTGGATGAAGATGATGGCTGAGGGTAAAATCTCACATGATAATCCTAGGTAACGCAAGATAATCCTTTGTTACTAAATTCTGGACAACTATTACAACATACAATAAATAACAGTTAGTGTAACAGTTTTTCTTAGCTCACAGGTCAAAGTCCCAGGTTACAGATTAGTGATAAATAAATTGCATTTTTTGGAAAGCTTTATAGATTAAAAAACAGGTTTTGTTTGGTAGTCAGTGCAGTACCGTATGGGCTCTCAGCTGCAGAGGAAGGGTGGCGGAACTGGGAAGGTGACGAGCGTCCACAGCCCTCCGACCCTGAGGCACTGGCTGAGGGTGCGAGGACATGCTGATGAACTTCCTCTACACACTAAAAGTGGGTGTGGTCTTGTCACAAACACTGTGCATCATGGGGCGTTGAGTCCTGGCAGTCACCGACCTGGAAGGAATGAGAGAGAAAACATTATAGATTAATTGTTAATAATAATAAATATTTGTTAACACAACAATCAATCTGTGGAGTAAAACTAAATTGTGGGCAAAATCATACAGTGTACACCAAACTTCAGAAAGCCAGGATAAGCAACTGAGAGTTTGATGAGTGAGAGAGAGAAAGAGAGAGAGAGAAGTCCTAGCCACCACCTGCTGCTGGCCGGATACATGTCGGCACACTGTGTAAATGAATGGATCACTCTGTATCCCCCTCTATATCCTCTTCTTCATTCTGTCTCTTTCTATCCTCATTAGGGCAGCTGGTGTGCTCTGCTGCATGATGATACTCCCTTTTTCACAGGTACAGCAAAAATACACAGTATGGCTACACCAAGTTAGTGTTCAAAGTCCCTTTAAGGCAAGTCTGTTCACTCAGCAACTATATTGGTAACATCCCTGGGTAGCTATTTTTTATGTAAACCACAGGCATGTATGTACAGCTCATATCTATTTAAATAAGGACAGACAAATCGTATTAAACAATGCCTAGATCAGAGCTGCCCAAACTTTTTCCTACGAAGGGCCAAAAATCAAACTTGATTGAGGGTTGTGGGCCGAAAATAAACACTGCATTATACCAAACTGTATTAAATCAAAATTAAAGTTTTCATGGATCCCATCATTTATGAGTTCATAATATTTAAAAATGAATTAATAGTTTTATAGTTCAATTAAACGTATGGTAAAATGAAAACATAGAAACACTCCCATTTATAGTACAATAGAGTTCAATGTCTAATACAGCTATAAAAGATAAAAGCAACACAGACATATGCTTGCAAAATCAGTGACCTCTAATGAGAGACATGAAGTTAGTCATTATTTTTTAAATGTTTTCCAAATTGGGCTTTAGCTGACTTACTGACAGGGTCAGGATATTATGTAGGTGAGAGTCAAGTTAATTTGCTTCTCATTTTACACTTGTTCAGGTTCATCAGACTGAAAGTCTTCTCACAGTGGTAGGTACTGCCAAACAGAGACAATATCACTTGTGCTTGTTTCGCCAGGAAAGTTCACTGGCAATGATTTTGAATGGATCAATATCAATATTAATGATATAGTATTATTACTAGTATGCTATATATGGCTTTCCAAAAGTGGTGATCCCCTTGAAAGTGGTAATCCCCTTAAACATTGAAAGAATAATACGACAAAGATATTGATTTCATCGAAAACTGTTTCACGAATATATGACTTGACCTGAAGGACAGACGCAGGTAATCGCACATACTCAGGTCGCCCATCTCAGTCTGCTCTGTCTGTGTGTGTGTGTGTGTGTGTGTGTGTGTGTGTGTGTGTATAGGAGCTGCCTGAGCTCAGACACAGATAGAGAGCAGTCCAGATGTCAGAGGCAGTGGGATAGCTAAAGTAGCTAATGAGTTTTTGAAATTCACTTTTTATGTAAACAAACATGCATGTAAACAAAATGGGCAATATTGCATCACCAAAACTTATCGTGGTCATGTCCATATTTCGTACGATAAGTCAATATAGTAATTATCACGACAGGCCTAGCATCAACATTTTTTCCCCTCTTCTTGTATATGGCATGGCAAGCCAAATTAAAGGGCCCTTGTTTGGCCATTGCTGGCCTAGATTATTTCATATTGATGTTCTTTGTGAAAGCAGGTTAAAACTTACTGTAAAACGTATGAATAACTCACATAAAATGACTTACAAGGAGCAGTTATACAATAGAATGTCTATGTTCCACCAAGACAGTTGAGAAAATATCAGCTGAACTACAATGAAACTGCAGCATAAAAGTACTTTGCCAAACTTCACATTTACCTGTATATTTACATTAAAATGGATTTCTACCTACTAGGGTTGTGCCGATAGACAATAGTATCATGTATCGACGATAGTCAGAGATATCGACAATAGCAGATGTCTTTGTCAATAGTCAAGACAATATTAGGGTCATTCTCCTATTAATGTATTAAATTATTATTATTATTTTAGGCAGCCTATTATAATTCATTATCACCTACTGTTGTTCTTAATACTGGGGCCCCCCAGGGATGTGTATTAAGTCCATTTCTCTATATTCTTCATACGAAAAAGCTAATTTTTTTAGTTTCATCTGACCATTGAACCCAGTCCCGTTTAAAGTTCTAGTCGTGTCTAGCAAATAAATATGCTGGAGTTTGTTTTTGGATGAGAGTGTTTTCTTTTCTAGTTTTTTCTTGAAAACCCTCCCAAACAACATTTTCACAACGTTTTTTTTTTTTTTTTTTTTGACTTTCTGACCCCAAGACTCAACTATTTTCTGCAGTTCTCCAGCTGTGATCCTTGGAGTCTTTGGGCACTCAAACTCTCCTCCTCACTGTGCATTAGGATGATATAGACACACGTCCTCTTACTGTATTGGAGAAAAATATTTATTTCATAATGTGATTTTCCCCCACTTTCACTTAGGGCTGAACGATTAATTGCATTTTGCGATAACGCGATATGAAAAAAACACGATTTTTCAATCGCAGAGGCTGCGATTACACTCGATCACGTGACACGCGAGAGTAAAGAGGTGTGTTCGACTTGAAGTTCGATCGGTGTATGACATCAAAGTAAGGCAAGAGAAAGCTTAAGGAGACGTCCGCTCTCTTATAGCTCTTGCAGTACTTTGATGACACACACCGATCAGTCTAAGCAGCGCTTCAAGTCGAACACATCTAAGCAGTCTTCAGAGGAAGCATCAAGTTGGCACGCTACAGTGTTGCAAAGTCCACGGTTTGGGGAACCCCTCCAAAAAATGTGTATTTTACCCCCTGGAACGCGATTTTTATGGTGGACACCCTCGAAACGGATTGGGCTAGTTTTGAGTAGCAATTGGGCGGGTTTTATGGTGAAAACCTGGCAACCCTGGCACGCTACATGCGGAAATGTTTGAAAGCGTATATAATGAACGTACTTAAAAACGGCACATTGAAATTACTCAAGCAGTAACAGTGTTACGGTGCATTTCATTACTGAAGACTTCGACCTTAAAATAATATATATAATAAGGTAATATATATATTCTTATTTATTTATTT